CCTGGAGAGCCCTCGTCGCCACGGCTGGTTTCGCCTCGACCCCCTGGATATCACGCACCCCGGAAAACAAGGGCGCCCTCGAGGGCGCGAAGTGACTCGCGCTTCGCGCTTCGCGGTTCGGCGCCGATTCCTCCTCATCCTCTTCTTCTCTCCTGGGGGGCGGCGCGAACGCGCGAACTTATTCGCGCTTCGCGCAGCGCGAAGCGCGAAGTGAGGCGCCCTTGGGAAGAGCTCTATGGAGGATCTGAATCGGTACCCTGTTCTGCCCCTCCCCATCCAGGGGGGCTTCGGAGGGCCTCCCTGTGGCCTCGGCGGGGTTCTCGTGTCCGTCTTGGGAGCGCTCTCTCCTGAGCCGGCTCGTGGAGACCCCTTCGGGCCCACCTGGTCGGATGCCAGGACACCTTGGAGGCCGTCCCTGGGCGGTCTTGGGCAGCCTTGGGAGGTTCGTGGGCTCTCTTGGGGCTGTCTTCGGCGATCGTCGAGCTCCTGGAGGTGCGTGACCTCTCCTGCGGGCATCTGACGCTGACAGTGGTTGTTTCAAGGCCCAACACGTCGATCACCACGTTCTCGCTGGCTTCCCAGGGCCTCGGAGGACAGCTCCTCGTGCGCCTCTTGGGTGCTTTTCCAATGTCAGCCGTTCCGCATCGACTTGGAGCCGTGATGGGGCTGTGGGGCGAACAGGAGAGCAGCGCGCAGGATGGACGATCCTTCCACGTCGCGCGGTAGAGGCGCGCCCAAAACGAATCGACGTGGCGAAGGGCCTAACCCCACTGTGCCCATGCCGAACAAACCAATCCGATCCCCTTAGCGGCTACGGGCGGCCCGATCCGACTCGATCCCGAGATTCCCACGATCCGAGGAGGCCCGATGCTGTTACGGCGCCGCTTGACATCCTGGCGCAAGCGATCCGCTTCGATTCCGACTGCGTGCTGATGCAGCTCGCTCCGACGCAGATATCGGTTCGATCTTGTTTCCCGATTGTATGCTGACTTACCCTTGCCCCATGACAGGTGCGTCTGACAGAAACAAGTCAGGATGTGCTGGAAGCAGCGAAGGCCCATGCGGGCGCGCCCACAGGTGCCGCAGGCGGAGCTCCCCATCGGGCCTACGGAGCAATCGGAGTGATGAGTCTGCCGAAATGGGCGGGGCCTCGCACGCGGGCGAGCCCACTGGGGCACCACATGCGGAGCTCCCTGTAGGGCGCGATCCGTGTGGCGGGTGCGTGTCGAAATGGGTGGGGGCCCGCACGTGAATTCTCCCGCGCTGGGCCCACAAGTCAGCTTTCTCAGGGGGCGATCGGTGACCGGTGCCGAACTGGGCGGGAGCGCGCATGCTAGCTTCAGTCCAGTGGGTGCACCAGCTTAGAAACTTGCCTCCGAAAGGGCTCCACCGAAGGCCCCAGCGGTAGGGCCCGCATGCGTCCCAAGGCCCATTTCGGCACACACATCACCCGTTTCGTTCCTATAGGGAGCTCCACCGAAGGTCCCAGCGGCAGGGCCTGCATCCCCAGGCCTATTTCGGCACACCCATCACACGTTTTTGGCGCCATAATGAGCTCCATCGAGGGCGACAGCGGCAGGGCCCGCATGCGTCCCCAGACTCATCTCGGCACACCCCTCGCACATATAGTGGCTCCATGGGAAGCTCCACCGAAGGCCCCAGCGGCAGGGCCCTCATGCGTCCCAAGGCCCATGTCGGCACCTCTCACGTGTTTCGTGGCCCCATGCGGAGCTCCACCGAAGGCCCTGGTGGCAGGGCTGGCATGCGTCCCCAGGCATTTCGGGATATCCATTACACGCTTCGTGGCACGATAGGAAGCTCCCCGTCCTTCGTCCCGCCCGCCTTGCGGTATTATTCACAGCTGCCCAGGGGTGGGCACCTCGCCAGGATAATTTACAAGGATCATGGTCATACGGACCAGACATGTAGCCGGCATTTTGGCGAGATCACGATTTCGGAATATACTGTTGGGGAATCTCTCGGACTGGGCGTTTTTTTCCACCCCTATCGATAAGGAAAGACGAGGACCAATCAACACAGGAGGGTTCGAAAGCCATGTAGAAGCGCAGTGCCCAGACACCATCGCGTCGTGAACAAAACAGGACGGGGGTTATTATTCATGAGACTCGGCTTCTGGGGCCCTTGCCAGGCTTCGGGACCGTCAATCAAATCGGCGTAGGTTGAAAAGCCTGTACCAGGGAAGGGGTCGAGGTCTCTTGGGGTCCACGTGATGAAAATTTGAGGACGTCGGGGGTTTGGGCAGACAGGTACCTGTTGCGATGGCGGATTCGCGGTCACGGAGGCGGATTCACGGGGATCCTCCGACGGACGGTGCTGGATTGGGAGTCTTGCTGACATCGTAGCCCCGCGAGTTTTCGGGGCGGCAAGTTTTTATTGATGGGCATCTCTTGTCCTTGTTCGATCAGTCCGCATCCTCCTCCTTCTCATCCCCCTTGCGCCGTTGCCCTCGCTGGCTGGCTCCAGTCCTCGCGGATGCTCCCTGGCCAGGCATTCGGCTGATTGTTTGAAGTGTTAGGGCTTAGTCGCGTGGTGGCCCCGCTTTTCTCAGGGGCAGGGGGCCGATCATCAGGAAGCAGGCCTTCCAGAAGCAAAGGAATCTGTCAAGTCGACCGTCTTAGTGCCATTCGGGTTGTTTTGATGCTCATCGAGGGTCTGCTTGGGTGATTCCGCAGATCGTGTGCTAGTTGCTTCTTGTCGACAAAACAATTTGAGTTTCTGCCAACGACGAAGACACATATACTTTCGGATGTCCTCGCGGATTTCTTTGATCGGCGCAGGACCCCCCACTTGGCGCGCGGAGCGCGCCAGGGGCGGCACCAGAGGCGCCGCCAGGAGGATCAAGCGCCATTCCAAGCAATCCGCGCGGACTCCCGACAGCTGCTGTTTGAACATAATGTCTCTTCTTCTTCTTCTTTACTCGTCGCAGTTTCGGGGGTGGCCAGTTGTCAACGCCATACTTCGGGTCGGTAGCATAGGGTAACGCCCATGGGGTCCCACCCAGTGGGTCCCACCAATAGAGTCTCACGCACAGGGCCACACTCAGAGAGTCCTCAGGACGTGTGTGAGCCCAAGGTGTGTTAGCCCCGCTCTCCTCTGCCGATGGCACGCCGCGTTTTCGGCCCTCAGCACACCGCCGGCGTCGTGTTGAAGGGCCTCGGTGGACAACACACGCGTTGGCGCTAACATACGCCATCTACGGATCATCGACATCGGGCTCACCCAGAGGACCTTGGCCAGCGCGTTCTGGAAATGGCCCCGCCTTCGGCGCGTCTCTCTCCGTGGGGGCGGCAGCCGGCGGAAGGCTGGCGAAGGATCGGCGGAGCGCGGCGGAACGCGACGCCAACATGTTTGGATTCAGTGTTTCCTCCTTCTCCTTCTCATCCTCCTTCTCCTCGACCTCCTCCTCCTCCTCGACCTCCTCCTACTCCTCCTCCTCCTCCTCCTCCTCAGTCGGCCGTATGTTGCGCACCATGGGTTGCCGTCCATGGATGCCGCAGCATGGGTTGCGCCCGGCGCCTCCTTCAGTTGCAAACCATCCGTGGCCGGCCCTCCACACTTAGCTGCAGCTGCACAGCATGCCTTACACGAGTCATTTCTTCGGGGCCCATGCGTTGGCAGCGTATGCGATCTGCTGCCCCCGTCCCCCTCCAGGTTGGCAGGGCTGCCACGTGCCCGGCTGGCTCTCTCCACTGTTCCCACGGACCCTTGCCGCTTAGGAGCGGCAATTTTCTGGGGCCGACTGGGCGTTTTATACCCGTCTCGGTGGCGCTGAGAGGCGCCACGGACCTGGTCGGACGAAAGGGCGGGTTAGGGAAAGGGGGGGTACGAAATCCGTTGCATGCAGCTGCTTTCAGCCCCGCCGCCGGGCGCTTCTCCCGATGCATGGGCGCCTGCGGCGCTGGCGAAAAACAATTTCGAGGACCGATTCGCTGAGCCCCCCCTTGCTACCCCCACTCTACCGTCCGACCCGACCAGGTCGGGCGAAGAGAACCAACATGTACACCGATCGGGGCCAGGCCCATCCTGGGCCCGGGATCGGATCTTCTGCCTCCCTAGCCACGTCGGGAGGTCGTGTGCACCGATTGTGGGCCCAGAGTCGGCCCGGAAAGGGTAGGTGCATGCGCACGCGGTCAGGAACTGTTGCTTAAAGTGTCGGGTCACCAGTTCTGGCCTACCCGTCCTCGGTCCGACACTTTAGGCCTCCCAGATGGGGTCCGAGCAGATGGGGTCGGAGAGTCGCGCCGAATCGCCGATGCATCGGCGATGTGGCTCGATGTGGAGCCCAATTTTCTCCACGCCGACGTCGCCGATGCATCGCCGGCGCATCGACGATGCGGTGCGATCCTCCGAACCCCATCTACTCCTACCCCATCTCGGAGGTGTCACAGTTCTGGCCCACGAAGGGCAGCGAGGGGGCCACGAAGGGCGACAGCGGGGCCACGAAGCGCGTGCGTATGGGGCCACGACGGGCGCGAACAAGCGGGGGTCCCGAAGGGCATACACATATGGGACCAGGAAGGGCAGCGAGGGGGCCACGAAGGGCCGTAACGGGGCCACGAAGGGCAGCGAGGGACACGCTAACCACGTCCTTGTCCCCATGCGGCAGCCTGCCGAGCTATTCCCAGCCTCGCGCCACGCGAGGCGGGGCGGCACGACCCATAGCGTGCCGCTGGGACCGCCGCCGCGACACCCCAAGCACGGGCGCCTGACTGTAGCTCTCCCGTTCCCCTCAGATCCGACGTCGACTAATTACACGTAAGAGTGACCTTTCGCTGGAGTGACCTTTTAGTCCGGGCCCAACGGGGCCTCCCGATCGCTGAATGTGATACTGTAGCTACGGCTTACGCGCCTGGCGGTGTCCCCGAAAGGACCCACCCTTCGGCCGCGCACCAAAGGTCACTCTTGCCCAGGGTCACCCTTGCGTGCAACCGATGGCGTTGCAAGAAAGTGCAGCATCGCCGAAGATCACCACTGGAGCCGCGGACCCTCTGTCTTCCTGCGCCAGGTTTTGGAGCTTCTCGGGCGGCGTGGAGGCGCGCCACGAGGGTGGTCCCGCGCCGCGCCGCCGCTCCTTGGGGCGCGCGCCGCTGCTACGGGCTGGCGGCGGGTGGGGCTCCTCTTCGTTCCCAACAGCGATCGTCGCCCTCCCAGTCGGCATCCTCGTCATCATCATCATCGTCATCTTGGGTGAGCGTTTTTTTGTTTCTCTCCGGCGTAACGCTCGCTACCCAGGCCAACCCTCCCCCCCATGTAACGCTAACGATCGTGCCGTGGGGCAGGGGGGCCTGCCCCCCCCCCCTACATGCTGGGAGCGGACCCCCCGCCGGTACGGCGCTGTGCTTACAGGCATGGCATGGTGGTTTAAAAAAAAGAAGGCATCGTGGTTTGAACGGCACGCATTGGTGCTCACAGACGTGTTGTGGCGCTCGCAGTCGTCGTCGTCGTCGTCGTCGTCGTCCTCGTCGTCGTCCTCGTCCTCATCCTCGTCCTCGTCCTCGTCCTCGTCCTCGTCTTCGTCGTCGTCGGTCGTCAGTCGTCGGTCGTCGGTCGTCGGTCGTCAGTCGTCGTCGTCGTCTTCGTTGTTTTCGTCGTCGTCGTCCAATGCAGCTGGCGATGGTTCATTACCGCAGGCTGTTTCGACGAATTCGTCCGCAAGTGCAGACTGCGGTGGCTCTCTCTCTTCCCTCTGGCCTGTGCTCGGTTGCAGCGCGATGCAGCCAACGCGCCTGATAAGGACGCTCGCCTTCTCCACGGTGCCCTTGTGTCCTTGCCTCTGCGGCCTGTCCTTCACCGCTTTCGTTGGCCAGCTTTTGCAAAACAATCCAAACTTCGGCTTTCAAGGGTCTTGCGTCCTTACCACCCGTCCATTATGCACGTACCGATTGTAGACCCAGCGCCATGGAGAAAATGAAGACTGAGCGGCCCCGCGCCTTCTCCTGCGGGCGGTGTGGTGTGCGCAGGCGCTGTGGTTCACGCAGGCGGCGTGGTGCACACTCGCACTGCGTTGCACACGGCTGCTGCGGTGTACAGGCGTTGTGGTGTACGCAAGCGCTGTGGTGCACACAGCACTGTGGTGTACACCGACGCTGTGTTGCACGCGGCTGCTGTGGTGTACACAAGCGTTGTGGTGTACGCAGGCTTTGTGGTGCACGCGTGTAGAATATTCCGGCGCTCCAGTTTTCATAGGGATCCGTTCAAGCCGTGTGTATATAAGTTTCGTTCTTTGTGGCATCCAGATGCGCCTTAATTTAATCGCTTCGCTCATTCCGCCGGCCCATATTGTCGCACCGTTGTGGGCTAGCCGAGTTTTGGGGCCTCTTGGGGTTTTTTTTTTTTTTTTTTGGGGAGGCCGTTTTTGGGCCTCTTGGGGCCTCTTTTGGGCCTCTTGGGCGCCTCTTGGGGCGTCTTGGGGGCCTCTTGGGGGCCTCTTGGGGTCTTTTTGGGGCCTCCTGGGCGCCTTCTGGGGCGAAGGGCTCGATTTTTCAGTTCTCGGTTCTCCTCTTGAGCCCCTCTTCGGCCCGTCTTGGGGCCTCTTGGTCCGTCTTGGGCGGCACTTGGGCCGTCTTGGGGGCCCTCCTGGGCCGTTCCGGGGTCGTCTTGGGAGCCTCGTGGGCCGTCTTGGAGCGGTCTTGGGGGCCTCTTGGGCCGTCTTGGAGCGTCCGGAAGCCGAAAAAGCCAGAACGCAAAAAACATAGAAAAAAACAATGAAAATCAACGATTTTGGCCTCTTGGGGTCCTCTTCGGAGGCCTCTTGGAAGGCCCTTGGGGCGTCTTGGAGGCCTATTGGGCTGTCTTGGGGCCCTGTTGGGCCGTCTTCGGGTGATCTTTGGCCGTCTCGGGGCCCTCTTGGACCGTCTTGGAGGCTTCTTGGGGACCTTTTGGCCCGTCCTGGGGCCCTGTAACAGGGCTCCGGCATCTCTGGCCCGACCTTGCGGGGACCTTGCCGGGGACCTTGCCGGGGACCTTGCCGGGGACCTTGCCGGGGACCGGCCGGGACCTGCCGGGGACTTGCCGGGACCTTGCCGGGGTACTTTTAGTCCAGGGGACCCCCAGGGGGCCGGCCCGCGCGCTGCGAAATTTTTGCGTGACTCTTAGGGGGGTTCTTCTTTTAAGTCTTTAGAAATATTAAGCTCTTTAGTGTTAGAATTTTTATTTTAGTGTTTTCTAGAAAATTTATTTTTTAGACTTTTTTTTTTTTTTTTCTTTTTATTAGTTTTTCTTTTTTTTTAGAAATACTGTTAACCAGGTACCGGAGATCTTAGCACGCCCTGGCCCGTTGGGCCGGCGAATTTCCAGAGGGATTTCTTTATCAAACAAAGGACTTTCTGTAGAATCCAGAGGCGTTCCGCTTTCCGTAGCGATTTTTTCAAATGCTATATAAAAATTGGGTCGTGTGGAATCCAGAAGCGTTCCGTTTTCCATAGGGCTTCCTTACATAATCCTATAATAAACAATGGTTGATTGTAGGATCCTATTATCATCAACGGTTGTTGCAGTATACACAGGCACTGCGGTGTGCATGGGCGACGTGGTGCTGCAGTGCACGTGGCTGTAGTGGTGTACGGAGGCATTGTGATGTGTACACAGGTGGCGCTGTGTTGCACGCAGGTATTGGGCATTGTCGTGTACACATGCAGTTGATGCGCTGGTGGCGCGGATGCACCTTGGCGGGGGCACGCCGCCGTAACTGTTAATTACCCTCTCGCCTTCCCCCCCCTCCCCCCCGGGTAACGGCTGCTACCCTGGAGAGATAACAGAATTGTCACTGGTCCTCCTTCATCCTTATTCCCTATGTAGCTAAGGCCTTTCTGTCGCACCCCAGACGTGCCAGTAGGGCGGGCCAGGCCAGGATCCTGAAGCGTGACATTTATGACATGTGTAAGGGTGGAGCGCGGGTGGTTTTCAAAATGTGGTTCCAGTCCCAGCGCCGCGCACATTCGTCCTCAAAGCTTGCACGAGCTTCACAGATGGAGGGCGAGTGGCTTTCAATGTTTGGCTCTCGCTTTAGCACCGCACAGTTTGGTTCTGAACGTTTTCAAGAGGTTAACGGAGGAAGGGCGGATCCTTTGCAAAATGTGGCTCCCGCCCCAGCGCCGCTCACAATCGCTGCGAAAGTTAGCAGCAGATTCAAGAATTCGTATTGTCGACGCCCCAGGACGGGTGCCCTGGCACGATTTGGGACTGCAAAACCCAGGGACGGTGTTCTGGCACGATTTGGGCTAGCCAGCACGCCACGGTCATGTTGATTCGCGGCACTGAATTTGCAGGAGTGATGTCGTGGCACGATTGAAGGTTCTCAGTTGGTTGTATTCCAATGGGGCATTTCCTGCAGTGAGCATACATTATTGTAGAGACCTCTGAACATCGTAGTCTGTAACATCGTCGATGCGTCGTGGGTGTACGCTGGGCCTCCTCCTCTGCGTCGTCCTCGTTCGAGTCGTCACTCGCGAAATTGAACCCTTCCGAAGCCGTACGGTGGTCATCGTCATCCTCGCCCCCCACTCGTCCTTGCCCCCCTCCATCCTCGTTGTCCTCGTTGTCCTGTTCCTCCTCCGCCTCCATCCTCGTCCCCCTCCTCTCGCCCCGCCGCTTCTGCCATCTCTGCATATCACTCCTCCTCTCCTACTCTCCCTTTTACCCCCTCCTCTCCCCTGCCCTCCCGCCTCGCTCTTGATCTCACTGCTTGATGATACTGTGCGGGGCGCGCGCGCGCGCTGAACGGGCACCTTCCCTGTTAAAGAATGTCGTGCGGGGCGGGCCACGCGTGCGCGTGCTCCCCAACGCCCCATGAACACCATTGCCCTGGCGCCCGCATGGGGTCGTGATCTTGCTTGGCCTTTCCTACGGACTGGCTATGCAGCAGGCGCGCCGAAGTAGAAGCTTGCCTGCCCGCGGATGCTCCACGAACATTTCTTACGTCGGGTACCTCACAAAGCGCAGAGTCGACGCAGGATCAGCCTTTCATGTAGCCCGATTAAAGCAATATGTCGTATCTTATGTGCCTGATGTAACATTTATGCGTTCGCTCGCGTGACGGAAATTTCCGAGACTGGGGTTAAGGGCGGGGGGGGGAGGGCGGGGGGCGGGGGGTATGGTCGTTTTCAGAAACAGTGTGGTCGCCCCCTCTTGCCCTCCCCCCACCCCCCTACTCCCTCGCACGCCCTCCCCTACCCTTCTTCTCTTCCCCCGCGCACCCTCTCCTCTCTTCTCCCCTCCCACACCCTCCTTCTTTCCCTTCCCCCCCTTCTGCCCTCGCACGCCCTCTTCTAATTTTCCCTCTTCCCTACCCGTCCTCCCATCCTGTCGCACGCCCTCCCTTCTTTTTTGTTTCTCAGTGCCCTACGCTGGTACCCCTCCTGTTGATCTCCCGTTGGTCTCAGAAGCACCGTCACTGCAGAAGCAATGAGGCCGCAAAAACAGTGCGGGTGGCAAGGGAGACTACCGAGGCTGGTCCTTGGAGACCCACCTCTCGGCAGTCCAAACCAAAGGCACCGACCGACCAACCTGAGATTGTAGAGGCCTCCAGCCGGTGCCGCCGATCCGGGACGATCCCGCTGTCACAAGGACGCTTTCGCCCCAGCGCGCTTGTTCAAACGTGAGTGGTTTGGAAACAGCTTGGAGGCATTGCGTGGGCTTCTTGAGGGGCCTCTGCGACGCATCTTCGAGGCTTCCTGGGGGGCCGTCTTGGAGGTGATTGTTGAGCCTCTTGTGGGCCTTTTGGGGCTTCTTGGGGGGCATGCAGGAGGTATCCTGGAGGCCTCCTGGGGGTGTGTAGGAAGTAATGTTTAACCTATTGGGAGCGCTTTTGGGTGCCTTTGTGGGGCCTCTTGAGGGCCACTTGGAGCCTCTCGGGGTTTCTTGGGGACTCCTAAAGCCATTTTGGTGCCTCCTGGGCGCCTCTTGGGCCGTCTTGGGCCCTTCTGGGGCCGTCATGGGACCCTCTTGGGCGCTTCTTGGGCACGTCCTGGGGCCCGCTTGGGCTGTCTTGGGGGCCTCCTTGGCCGTCTTGGGCCCTTCTTGGGCCGACTTGGGGCCCTCTTGAGAGCATCTGGGCCTGTTTTGAGGGTCTCTTGGGCCGTGTTGGGCACAGCGACGGCCGAAGACGCGACAATGCCAAAAATATACGTTTACCTACGGGAATGGGCAAGACGTTCCGTCTTTGGGCACTCTTAGGAGGTGTCGGGAGGGTACTTTGGAGGTTTCTCGAGCCGTTTGAGGAACATATTGAGTGTCTTGGAGCGATGTTTCGGCCACTCAGGGCCCCCTTGGGCCGTCTGGGCGGCCGCTGGGTTTTACCTGACAGCGAAGACTGATAGGTTTCTAGTGGGCTCAAAAGAGAGCATCTTGACTCCCCAGGGGGTTCTGGGCGGATGCCGGGGCGAATCCAGGGACTCCCCGGGACTCCCCAGGTGGTTTTGGGCGGGTGCCGGGGAGGATCCGGGGACTGCCCAGAACACAAGTTCCAGGCCACATTCTGAATGCCCGGAGCCAACTGTAGGCCACTTCGTGTTCTTCGTGTTCCCAGAACACCACTCCCTGGCCACATTCTGAATGCCCGGAGCCAATTGTAGGCCACTTCGTGTTCTTCGTGTTCCCAGACCACCATTCCCAGGCCACATTTTGAATGCCTGGAGCCAACTGTAGGCCACTTCGTGTTCTTCGTGTTCCCAGAACACCGTTCCCAGGCCACATGTTGAATACCTGGAGCCAATTGTAAGCCACTTCGTGTTCTTCGTGCTCCCAGACTTTAAACGGAGAAGGTTAAAGGCGAGGTATAAATCGAGCATGTACCGCTGCCGTGCCTGGTTCAAGCCGGGCCCGGCCAAATATATGACTGTGCCTCACCGAGGCGCACGACTGGTATCTGAGATCGGAAAATACTTTTTCCATTGAAGATGCCTCTTCTATCCTTTACTCCAGATCCCATGCTTCGTCTCGCTCTCTTGCTCATGCGATATGAGCCAAAGCCTGGGATATGGCAACGCTTGAAGCGTAACACATACCTAAGCTTACCAGCATGTTTTCGACTTGGTAGCGGAGCTGGCTACACTCTCGTGTGGCTGGCTCTCGCTCTGATTCCTGCAATCCACGGCACAACTTGGTGGACTACTACTACGGTGGAATACCATGTTGCGCCGGCTCTGCGAGGAGCGGAGCCAGTCCGCGATCGAGCTAGCGGGGCAACCCGCGAACTCGAGACGCTCTCTCCTACTTCACTGCGCTACTTCACTCCTGACTTCCACCAGATGCCAATCGGCAACTCGATCGAGAACGTGGTCACCCTGCGGGGCTACCCGCAGCGGGGCCAACTGCATCCCGTGCCAGTCAGGCGCCTCACGGCTACTACGCCAGAGCCTGACAAACCACAGCCTAAACCAATCACCGAAGCCGAAATGCACATGCACTGGATTAAGATAACTATCTTCGGCATTCTGTGGGTAATAATGGGATGTGCTGTGGGACACATGCGGCAGGGGATGGACGACACGCGTACTACTGGCCCTTCATAGGACCCTGCCGGTACTACGCCTTTTCGCGAATACGTTCGCGAAGTACATGCATGGATAAACGTAACGAGCGGCAATATGACGCCACCACAACAAGCTGCAGCACTACAACGAGGCCTTCAAGGTCTTGCTCGTCGTATCGCCATGCAGGTCCCCTCCCAGATCATCAACTCTGGTGTAACTGTCAATGGACAGCCAACGGATGCAGTCACATATATACTGTACCTACTGAGCACCAAATTTGAAAATCTGGAAGATGAGCGCCAGCTCAACTCTGGCACTGCCCTTATCGACTTTCGCGTCGAAAGGGGCGAGCGAATCGACTCAGTGTTAGCTCGATTCGAGATGGCCCGTGACGAGGCTAACTCTGTTGGCTTTGTCATCCCCAACTTTCAGATCCTAACGCTGATTCTTTTCAGAACGTTAGGCGTTGGCGCGTCACGAGCCCAACACCTGCTGGAGCCTTTTAATCATCAGATGCCCAGAACACAAGCAGACTATGACAGGCTGCTGACCAGGATGAGGAACTACGGACATGTTGCCGAGCGCTCTCCTGGCAACATTGCGGGTATCTTCACAGGGCACCACTCACATGCAGGTGTCTACGCCACGACTGCGGGGTCACCCGCTGGTCATGGCGAGCCAAGTCCCTGGGCTGACCCAGCCGATATGCCCAACGAGGCCACTGCCTTCTTAGGGCAGACCGGCCAGGCATCGGCAGAGGCAGCTGAGGCGAACGCCTGGTCGAACTACTCGCCAGGCGCCGCTTACACTGCAAGCCCGCCCTCGGGCACAACCCTCTGGGGCCAAGCGGAGTCATCCGCTCAAGGGTCTCAGCCACCCTCACCGTTTGAATCTGGCACTGACACAGATACCTCATCTGACGATGAGCACAATGGCATAGTCTCTGCTGGTAATGACTATCCAGTGGATGACACTCACCTTTCTGAACAACAAAGAGCGGAAGCCGCTTTTATGGCTTATCGCAATCAAAACGCCGTTGGAGGCGCTTTATGAAGAAACCAGTCAGAAAAGTGAGACGTGCAGTACGCCGACATTTCAAACGATATGGAAAGGGTCGTGGCAAAGGGGGTCGCAGACGCCGTATGCATGGTAGGGGTATTACTGCTTTCCTCACGTCCTTAACTGATATAGTCTTTGAGGAAGTTCTTATCGGAGGCAAAGGTCGGGGTCACAGGCGGACCTCCGGTAAGGGAAAAGGGCGGAGGGGCAACCCTAGGGACGCTTCTTGCAATACTATGAAGTGTCATACATGCGGCAGCACAGAGCACTTGCGCGATCAATGCCCGAAAGGGAAAGGAAAGGGATCCGTACATTTGGCTCAAAATTCTTTTATGGATGACATAGACTACATTGACTACGAGTTTTACGTCAACCCAGAAGCGGCTCCCGCCGCGGGCTCCTCCACATACTACGTGATGGCCCGCTACGCTGAAGTGACCGTAGCCCTGGAAGACTACGCAGTGACCCTCTTCGACGAGTTCCACGGCTGGGACGAAGTCGACGAGGTCGCGTTCAATGCTTGGTTCGGTCTTCCAGCGGGGCCACCCGCCGACGACGAGATCTCCGAAGCTGAGACCGTCCCGGCGTCCGAGGAAGAGCTCACCGCCGCGCTGGCACCGCAGGTGATTGGCATGCCGTTGCTGCCAGATCTTTCGCGAGCTGGCTCGGAGGCGGGAGACGCTGATGACGAAATGCGGGGCCATCCCGCGTATTCTGACTCCGAAGAGGCCGAAGAGGACTAAAAGGACATGCTCCAAGAGCAGGTCGCAGAAGCAATCCGGCTCCTGAGTGCGCCAGCACATCAGCAGATAACCATGAACGACTTGCTGTCGCGCCCAGGGGCCGCACGGCTGCGTCCATACCTGGATTCAGACATGTCGGCACCTCAGATGCTGACAGCACTCCAGGCTCTAGCGGGGTCACCCGCCGAAGTGACGCCAGCCGCAGCAGCGGGGCCACCCGCTTGGTCTATGGATGTATTTATGCAGGGCTGCGACCAGATGGACCTCAACGACCTCACGATGGAGCAGCTAAACGACATCGGGTACTTCCGAAGCCCGTATCAGCACGTATTCATGGTCCAGGACAGCTCAGAGGATTCGGAGGACATGCGCTATGCAAAGAGGGACAGACGACCATCGCCTCCCCGAGACTCAGAGCATGACGATCAAAGGCCCATGGAACGTGGTAGTGCGTCAGCGGGGCCAGCCCGCAGGAGGAGCCGTTCAGCTCCCCGACGTCCTACACATGATGCATCGGGCTACCCGTACAGTACGGAGCACTCCGTTGGTGTATCCGCTCAGTACGTGCCGGAGTGGTACATCAATTGGTACCCCGGCTACTCGATGGACGTGATCCGCCACTGGTATTCTAAGGAATACTGCACCAAAAGGGACGAAACTGGCATGATAATGCGTACCAAGGGTGGCAAGACCAAAACGCCAGAGGCTTGGGACAAAAGGGCTAAGAAACAGGAGATCATCAACGATCGCAAGACATACAGAAAAC